TTTTAAAGATTTAAGCATATACAGGAACGGACAGACGGCGACAGCGACTTTATACTATGTAATTTTAGTGTAAAATATTAGTTTCCATTTATCTATACATGCATAACTGCAATATACATATATAATTTATATACGTATATGTCGATATCTCCTTTGTAGTATATTAATTTGAATCCAGTAATTCCCTTTCACTGTCCTATAATGCTCTCTGTTATACCTAAATACCTATATAATAAATATATAATTATAAAATAAAAATCATTAAGTACAACATTTCAAATTAATTTTAGCGAAAAATTATCACTATCATTTCAGCGTTGAAATAAAAAAAACTGCATCAGAATCGGTCTGGTAGTTTATGTACGATGCTACAGTTAGCCACACAGACGCAAGTACATCAAACTTATAATACCGCTATTATTCCGCCGGGGTTAAAAGTAAATGAGATCCATCTTCACAATTCCTGGGCGCATCTTTGAATCAGTAAATTCGCGTAGTGTTGCAACAGAAACGAATGATAATTTTATGCATTAAGCCTTAGCAATTGTTGGTTGTGAACCAAGATCCTTGAGCCACTCACTTCTCAGGTACCCAGTGACTGAGTGAGCTGTTTCGACACTAATCTAGGCCAAGTACGCTTCCTTTCAATCTCCTATTCATAGTTCGCACTAGCCGGCAGTAGATGTGGCGAAAAAATCTAATTAATTATGTTAATTTACAATAAAGTACGTGTCGTACATGAACTACTTGGGTTTTTATTAGTTATTACATAGAAACTTACGTCGCTTTTGTCTTAGATTTATTATATGAGCCAAGAGCAGACAATTAATAAACTCATCCTCATTATCTTTAGAGTAAAGATTTTAAGCAACTCATCATACACATAAACTGACAGCCCACCTGATTGAAAGCTGCAACCTTTCTGGAATGGCAACATATGCTAGTACCCCTCATAGTTTGTTATTTTTAAGGTCTAATGCTCATACAAAACACATTACAAAGCGGCAAAAATCACAGGAGCACTTAGATGGTTTCGTTTAAAGTCTACTCCGTTAGATTAAAAATAATAATTATAATAATGACATCGATCCGTATATGCCACTTACAATTACGAAATGAGTCATCTAATGTTTAATTTCTTATAAGACTTGCATTTTGTTCATTTCGCATTATAACAATGTAAAATACGATATGCGTATCAGGGTCCAAGTTTAAGTGTTCATCCTTTTATAGTCGACTATTCATTTTCTTCTGGTAAGTTCTCCTCCATTCGGATATTGTAAGCTGGGGCGGGGGTTGAGAAAAATTCAATGAACACTACATCATCGGAAGAACTTGGTAACCGACAATATGAATCCATAACAGCAATACATCGGTAACCGTTGCTACTCAGCCGAACTATGCATTAGTAATATTAATCTTCAGTTAATGCAATGTTCAAAATTGGATTGTATTTTATTTTTAACTTGAATGGATAATTATGAAACATTTTGCAATTATTAATTACTTTCTTATTTAAGTCTGTTCAAATTGTCAACAGCCAAGTTGTAAACAAACACATTTATTACTTTCATGCTTATCAAAAACAAGTACCTACCTATATAATAATAATGTCTTAAAGTAAATAGAAATTGTAGTTAATTAAAAAATAATGAATGCATATTATACATTATACATGTACATATACTGTATTATATTTATATTTATTTAATTAAATTCATGCTTTGGATATGTAGGTATTTACTTTTAGTACATAAAATTAAAATCCAGTAAAAATATACTATTTGAATATCTATTAAAACAAAGCTTATTTTATATACATACATATATATGACATTTTAATAGAAAAAATTGATACAGAATTAAATTCGAAAATGTTTATCATAATCTTGTTAAAACAGTTACTTTCTTTGCGTTTTATAATAACCTAACCTACAATAGGATATTATAAACTCATGCTTGCTTAAATTGCGACGGGCATTTAGAAAAAATAAAATAGATTGAGGTAGTTAGCGTTTTATTTGTCAGATACAACGTTGTAGGGTATAGTGGAAACTGCGCCTCCCTTACAACAGAAGAAAAGTGAATTTAGTGGCAGGGCCTCTTTTTTTAGAAATGGCCCTTAATATTATTTCTTTTGTTGGCGAAATTGGGAATTATATGGTTTAGTGCGTAAAAGAAATAAAGGCGGCATTAACGCGCCGTTATGACGTACGATTCGTAATATTTTCTGTTGTTTCCCCGTATTGTTTCGCGTTATTTCACGTAGTACTCATATATGAAGGAAACAATGCAAGCTTAGGAATTGTTTGTGAATGTTTTTAATTGTGCCGGGCCAGTAAAGTTGTTGAAAGGTAAATATTAAATCTGCAAATGTATGGACATTGTACATGCATATTTAATTTAATGTTTCACAATACGTGCTGTGTTTATCGTTGTTTGTCTAGTTCATGTTTATACATACATTGGTTAGATATAGTTGTATGTATATTTAATAAGTAAATGCGCGTACTAAAATTAAAAAGTACATTTTCTTACGATTAACAAATATGTCAGCTAAAATCTAATTCTTCCTTAGCTTTATTATTAGTTAGCTGAGTTCTCCATATATATATATAAAATTAGATCAGTCTTTTTTACAATTTTCTCTCACAAATATTAATTCAGTAAAATAAACTTAATAAAGTTGATATAATAATAATAATACTAATAGTAAAATTAGTATTATTATTTCAACTAATAATAATGTCAATTTGTCACAACTATGCTATTGTTGTTTGATACTTAGCGGGTGAAATAGGTGAGACTTAGTGGACAACTTTTTACAGTCTTCCTTGTATCAACGTACAAATCAATTTTCAACTATTTAATTCCACTATTATTATGTAAAAAGCAGATCAGAGAAAAGAACGATCTTCGTTAACAAAGTATGTCAAGTATAAAAAAAGAGATTATTCACCGAAATAGATGTATTCAGTCATAAGTTGTGATATACAAAGTCCAGCGTAAATCTGATGCCCCTTTTGACTGACGTGGTACGGATAAAGGGCTCGCAGATAACCCTATCCACGGCCACATAAATCACTTTACGCATGTCGAACCTTTCACCGGGACGTGCCACTCAATTTAGGATTTCCCGCGTTTTTTTTTGTTCGAACGACTGATGAAAGTCATGAAATAGTAGAATCTTAGTAGTTTAACGGCCTCGTCGGTCTGCCGATTTAGTGCACCTTACTTCTGATGATCTTTTAATGGATGGCAATGGATTGTTGCACCCGCCAGCGCTAACGGTTTACGCTGGCGAAGGATGATGAGATGAACATGACATCAGGTCAGTTAGCCCATCAACTATAAATTCAAGAGGATTTTATCATGATGGAATGCAAGGGAAACCGCATGTAGGTCAACCTGACCATATTGCTAGCATTGGGGTCAACAGTTCACATTGTTAACTTATCCCCTTTTCCCATACTTCAGATTTGGGGTACAATATTTACGATACAAACATTTGTATACACGATTAGATCGCTTATTTGTCTGGGTGTTTTCTATGTCATAGGTAATGGCAATCCAGGTAAGTGGTAACCGTCGGATATATACATGAACAGCATTACGGACATTACGTTATCATGTACCAAGTAACATAATGTATTTAAAAAAGTACTTAAGTATATCTATTATTTCTTCAGTAAACATACTGATAAGATTACTTTGAAAAATGTGGTTTTAAATTCGAAAGTCTGTCTATTTCTTATCTTTACACGAATAAACTGAAACATAACTCATTATGAAATTTGACGTGAAGCAATATAAGACGGATGTCGGTTTTATTAAAAAAAATAAGTACTTAATTCATGATATAAAAATGCTAATAAACTGTAGGTAAGAACTATTACATGCCAGCTTTTAAACAAAAAATATCGTCACATGACATGATAATCATTCCATTTATTTGTGATCTACGATGCCACAGACAGGCACAAAGATATGTCTAACTTATACCACACCTCCACTTTCTGTGTTGGGGGTAAAATAACAGTCCAAGCCGCGGGTAACAGCCAATTTCATATATATACTGTGTTAGCTTCATGTATATCTATTTATGTAAATGTTTACGTTCTCACCCACTACTGCCCCCAAAGTAAGTCGGCCCTACAAATAGGTCACCATGTCAAAAGTCATAACTCAAAAACGTCAAATTTCGAGGACGGACAAACCGTTTAACGATCTTCGTCCGCATCAAAAGACGGTTAAGTGAAATTTAGTAACATAGTGGTTTTTACCTGACCGGGACATTTGTCATTGCTGACTGCGCTAAGAGCCTGCGGGGATGGTCTGTCACCTTGATAAATGACCTCATCTAATGCGACCTCTTTCCACTAACTTGTAACAGTACAAAATATAAAATGACCTTGTGATACGATCCTGTCTATTCTTGGAAAATCACATTTACGTATTTTAACGAAAGACTGATGAGTTATTGGAAAATTTATATTTATATATTGAAGACAAAATCAGTGTTTATATACAATATACATGTATATATCAATTTAAATCAAATATAGGGTGATATATCAAAATCGAGTTTTTATTATACAGTGTATCAACATTGTATAATAAAAACTCGTATATAGTTGTATAGGGTCATGAGATTAGGTTTGACAGATACGAAAAAAAACAATACTGTCAGTTTATGATACATTTTTGATTAACTGTCCGGTGAGTGAACCACCGATATTAAAGTAATAGAAATAACATGCAATATTTGTTGCGTTCCCCACAACATAGACAATTAACACCATCTGTCTCTGAGAAGCAAACACCGATATCAAACAAAATATCCGAGAGACGATCATAGGCTCACTTCATGCCACGTTTGTCATGTCAAGTGTTGCGTTCAACATCGACAATTAACAATGTCTTTGATTACCCCATCTGGTATAATAGTCGTGATGATATGCTAATATAGTTTTCACCAAATATTTCCTTCTTTGTTTCAGGATTGCAGGATCAAGGTCATCACATAAACCCTGACATTGAAAAGGTATGATTAATATGTGGTTTCTAAAGGAAATTAAAATTCCGTATAATATTTAAAAACATGACTGAAATCTTTTAAACATAATCGATAATTTAATATTTAATAAAAAAAGTACATAAGTATTAGCTACTCGTGGTCCGTTTCGGCGGCTCACGGATGGACATCACTTTGGTTCTCTCTATCTCTTGTTGTATAGATTACAATAGTGCAAATCATAAAAATCAATTACCAGTATTTCCAACTGCAAAGAAATATTTGTCTATATAAACCGAGCTGTATTGCTCGTTACAAAAGAAGAAAGTGCAGTTACGTATCAACTCTTCCTAATGTTCCAATTTAAACAATTTCAAAACATTATTCTCCGATATCAAATACATTTCCACAAGAGAGTCCTTTCATCTTTTCATTCCAATTGACCTATTTCCTATTGTGAAGGACTTTCTACATCCCGAGTTGAAAGGAATTGTTCGACCTATACATATAACGTATGTGTACATACGAGTATGTCCTCTGACGGTCAACAAATTGATATGACATTTGGCGGATTATCGGTTAGTACCAATTTGTGGATCGTCTAGACACGCGATCGGGTTTATAATTATACTAGTTTTTACACATGATCTCGTCTCTATCTTCACGGTAAAATTCATTAAGATCCAATTATCAATTTCGTTGTGAAAAGGTAACAAGCGGGCGGACAAATATTAGCAATTATGTACTAGCTAATATATATAGTTGTACCTATTATAGTATTTAAGTACGTAATATATACGATTATTGGTATGTAAGCATATTAGTATTGCCACATTTACCTAAGTTAGGTAAATATCATATGCCTTGCCATAGCTATGCCATGCCTTTTCCCATTACTGCCCTTCATCCACTTTCTGTTTTTATCCAATGGTTAGCTGGTAGAGAATGCCATATGGCATTAAGCTCGCTAATTGTACATTTATTTTAAACTAGCTGTACCCGCGGTTTCCCCCGCATGAAATTTATCGCATAAGTGTTATTCTGATATATGTATAAGATATTACTGTAAAGTTTCATCAAAATCCGTTCAGTAGTTTTTTAGTAAAAGAGTAACAAACATCCATCGATACTCACAAACTTCACGTTTATAATATTAATAAGATATAATAAAGAATAAGGTGGAATAAAGAATAAATAAATAAATAAATAATTGATAGTCTGTGCCGTCCTCTTATATGTATCATCATCATACAATACAATGTACCAACACGTTTATATAAGGATCCGTTTTGCCATTTAAATGTGAAAGTGTAATACACAGGCATTTCAAAATATTAGTATGGATATACGTACCATTATAAATTACTTCTGAGGCGCCAACAAATTGTTATATTTTAGATTATCGGTTAGTATAAATTTGTGCATCGTCTAAACATGCGATCGTGTTTACAATTATATTTACAGTTATACAGTTGTGAATGTCACAATTGTTTATTATTATAAGAGTCATTGCACTATACCAGTGGGTTTTTGTATACTACATTGCTTGAAGTAAATACAGCCCACGTGATTACTTATCTAATATTATTTATGCGTATTATTACATATATTACATTGGTTTCTACTTGTGTCCTTATTTCTCGAGTTTCAACTGCAAATTCAGACTGCAGAGACTTTAAATTTCCTTCTATTGTAAGTGAATTCTAAGGAAAATAGGTAGTGACTGTATTTGTGTCACTACAAAAATAAACAGTAAATAAATACATACGGTATTTTATTTATATTTTCCAAACTTTGGGAATTTTAATCTGACCAAACATTTTGTGTTAATTTATATTTCTGACTTTCTAGTAATGGAAACACCGATAAGAATATAAGTTAATCCCATGAAGGTATGGCTCCTTGTCACGTTTGATACAAATGTATTGAGCATATTGTAGTAGTGTTAAATAATGCGCTCACGTTGATAGGAGACAGATAGACAATACTTCTTACTACTCCATCCGGAGTTACGTGTATGAAGATATGGCTATTAATAAAATAAATCTGTTACAATGACAATATTGACAAAGACGGTATAATTCGGAGATTATCTCTGTCGCTTACGAATAGAATCGTCTATTTCACTTTCAGTAACATAAAGTTCTATATAAAAACCTTCTTTTTCAAGATTGTTATAGATAATTGTGAAACTTTATTGTTGATATTTCATACAATTTTATTACGAGAATAAGATGATGTTATTGTTGTGTACAGACACATCTGAACTCATTTTATATAAAAGCTACAGAGTGAAAGGCAATAACGCCAAGAGGCATACGAGCCTTTTTACTTTGTGACGAGCACACAACAGAAAATATGTTAAAAGTATTAGGTACTTCTATTACTTCAGCAGTAGTTCAAACAAACATACATATTTGTATAAACTCAATATATCATATTGTCCAGTTTTCTTTACTTACTACCTACACTGTTGGAACCTTTGAATACAGTAGTTAAAAGATAGAATAGAAATACTCTAGCTACAAATAGAATTTGTTTGTTATTTACATAATAATAAATAAATAATGGTATTGAAGGAGATATTCAGTGGCTAATCAAGCAGTAGCTATATTTTTTTAACAGTATCATTACATCACATCATCATCGTCTTATAACGTGTCATTACTGTTGCTAATGAGGACTAAGATGTCATATCAATCTTTTAATTTTACAATGTTGTCACACCCTTCTTTTGAAACAGCATACAAAGCACAAGCTGCTTAGTAGCTGAAATAAGTGATACAGAGGTAGGTATATGACTTCGAACAACCACAGGGAAAATATGGTGTATAAAAACATTTTTAAGTAAATAATTACACGAATTTATAGATCAATTTAGATAATGATCCGCTATGTCTATTTGTTAAACCACTGCCTCTAATTATTCGCTTTGCTTGCGTTTTGTGTTCCATCAATCGACGTACCTAATAATAGTTATTTACGAATTCCCGGATTGAACAAATTGAATGAACGAAATTGCTGTAAATACAAATGAACTATTCCGACACAACACCTGACTACAATAATGATACGTGATGTTGAATAACAATTAAAGAAGTTAGAACATTGTAATTAAGCGATTTAAATAACAAATTAGTTTAAATTTTTGTTAATATAATAAGTGCTCATTTCTGGTTTGAGAATAAATTAAAGGTGCTACATGTGAGATAAGATGAGATATGAGTTGCTCAGTGTCACCAATTCCAGATGCTTAGCAATTTGCTTTCTAAGCTGTTTTTCAGTTGTGGGGTGAAATTACAGAATCAGAGGCATACCGTCTTAGTACTCTGGAATAGCACTGCATAAGTGTTATTACGGGCATTTCATGATAACGTGATGTTCATAGTTCTACTCATGTACATACCTATAGTCAACGGTTACAGCTTACCACCAACGGACCCGTTAGCTTGTTTACCATTACCATTGTAATAACATAAAAAATATATAATATAAATCTAGTAAGAGATCAGCTTACAACCGTCTTTTCGCTTAACTTAGTTTATTATCAGTGTTTACATTACCCAGACGTTGACTTTATTTTCTTTTAGTATGATAATGATGCGCCCGCCTGCGCGGATGGCTTATGCAGGCGGGGCACCAGTGTAGGATGCTAAGATGAGCATGAGGTCAGGTCCGTTAGCCCATCGTAACAAATTCACTAGGAATTTATCACGGTGATTTCCAGGGGGTACTGCGTGGAGGACAATCTGACTTGGTACATTTCTTGCAATGGAGCAGTTAGTTCACATTACTAACAATCGGTCCCCCACCACCCCTCCGTCCCATTGAACATATTTGAACATACAATCTTTCAATAGGACAAGGCGCTCTCATCATAAGAATTCTCCAATCGATGTCGTTTTCCATCAAAATGTACCATTTTAAATGGGAACATATGTAGTATGTATATATGTAGTATATAACAATTCCAGTTGATTTTTAGGGAAGGAAGATGTAATTTGTGTCGTTTCATTTTCCGTTTGTTGCTCGTACAGAGAAATTGTATAGGTACAACTAATAAAGCCTTTATGAAATTATTAGACGTGCTCGAGTAAACCTTTGACTGTTGTAAGGCAGCAATCAGGAAAATCCGTTCAGCTTTGTCGACAAATTACTTATTTATATTTTAAACAAGACTACTAGTTGTTTCTCATGATTTCGTCTGCATTTTTTATATAAAATATTGATCTCCGTCCAAGATACAATTAAGATTTAAAAGTCCGTCCGTCAAAGATAATTAAGATTTACTCCTGATGGTCGTGTGTTCGCATTCTTGTACAAATATTTGTATTCATAAGTATGATTATTTGTATCTGTCTGGCTATTAACTTTGTACGTAAACTGATGAGCTTCTAAATGTCAGTAGTATTTATTCTTCTATTATATTCATTTATGGCAAAACCGCATTCGGTTTAAAATATTATTTCAATAATTTGCACAATATAATTATATACTAAAAATTTTCATAATGTTGGCATACTGTCATCATTGAAAATAATATCTCTAATTTCGTTCCAAACATCTTCCTGCCAAAATGCGATCAATGAAGTAAAATTCAGTCTTTAATGCTTTACATTAAGGGCCAAATATTATGTAATGTGTTTACCTACCTCGTTGCAGACCGTACCTAATAGCGACCATTTACGTAGCTTCCAACATTTACATTTATTTGGATTTTAAATTAGAACACCTGTTGGACTTGCAACAAAGCGCGGACGGACCCGATAATTTGTTTATTTAATGTAAATTGTACCCAGCGTTAACAAATTTGTAAAGGAACGTAACACCATTAATGAAGTCTTTTGAGTTCAAACCGTTTGAACCGGATGATTTTGCCAGAATGGTGGACATTTCGAATTGTATATTTTGCTGGATACCCTAATTGAGAGTTGATTACAGGCTTATATTTCTTTTATTTCGTACATTGTTTTTCTGCTCATTATTGTTTACGTCATTAATATTATTTTGTACTACAGGTAGTAAAATAT